AAAACGGGAAATTGCACAAGTTCATTACGTCACAATTAGTATTTAGGAGGTCATTAGTTGGGAACGTTAAGTTAACAAATAATCTTTTATATACGAAAGATTGAAACATAAACAGGCATTTCCCATAAACGTAACCTGATAAATAACCTACCCTATTTATGTTATTACGACATTATAAACAATCGTAAACTGACATATATAACTCCAATTCCCGCAGATCTTGCATTGTTTTTACTACATTGAGATCGCTTAGCACAATAAACTTCCGGTGCAGATCTGATTGCGGGGAAGGGGAGCGGATCGTAGTCAATTTCTCTAGCAACGTAATACGATATAAACAGCGGTCAACTGGCCATCTGGAGCATTCTGTTCATTGCCTCAACTGACGAGTACTTAAAAAATTGGGAATGTGGAAACCCAAAGCAGATGAGTAATTGATTAATTAATTTATTTATTTATTCATCCCAATTAATTTATGAATATTTGGAATTGATGCCTGTTAATTAAAATTTATTAATTTAAATAGTTTAACACTATACAGAAAATATTTTGGGTATTCCCACACATAGGAAAAACTTTATATGGGATATTAAAATCCCATTCTTCTTGATTTATTTGAAATATTTCCTTTTGTAATTTATTACCACTCAATAATCCATCCTTCACAAAATAATTAACGTAATAAAAGTTTTATACAAAAAGTTATTTGGTATTATATTTCCATCTGATATACAGACTTGGGAGACCCACAAGTTACAATTACCAAAATTCAAAGTAAAAAGGGTGAAACGTAACAGTTTTTACTGGACAGAATTTCAATGATTTAGAAAGCATGAATTTTATTTTCTTACATCACTTTCATATTTAAGAAAAATACAGGGCCATATTTGTATTGAAACCGTACCTTGTTCTTAGCGAAGTAGTTCTGGAGAAAAAGATACAAATTCAACGAGTTAACAACAATGACGACGACGAAGGCAGACAACGGACAATTTTCGATCAGAAAAGGTCACTTGATCCTTCGGGTCAGGTGAGCTAAATATCGTACAGCATAGCAAAAAAGTCAAACTTTATTTGAGCGAAACGTTGAAACCAGACTTTCCTTCTTGTGAGTTCGTGTATCTATCTGTCTGTCAGTCCGTCTGTCTTCCGTCCCTCGGTTTGTGCGTCAGACTGTCCCACTTGGTTTCTTCACAAGCTCGTTTAAGATAGGTATAGGCGTTTCTATACAGATTAAATAATTAAATTGGATACGGGCCACACTTCTGAACGGGTTAGGTTTAAAATGTGTTATCTATTGCATACTTGATAATCACATGTTATAACCCGTACCCATCAGAACATCGTATTATGACGTCATTGTACTTCATTACTGGAGGTTGTACAACATATCTGCAAATCAGCTTCGGCGCAATTCATACACGAATCATATTTAATTTTACAGAAACAAGGTATAATTAGAAGCACAATATTCCAGGGATTGATGATATTGCTGCAAAAATTTCAACAGTTCAGTTGTTTAGTTGCTTTTTGTACATGTAACTTTTTAGTTGAAAGATGGTAGAAATGCACAGTCCGGTGTAAGTTTCCTCAAATCCTGGTAAAATTGAGAAAGTGCATAGGATTTGCGCTGCAATTTTATTAATCTTTGGAGCATTATATATTATTTATATAAAAATTATTATATACCCTTTCACCGAGGCTGTTTTGTTGATGAGCTTTATTGAATTGACTAGTTAAAACCAATTACATAATAATATGACGTCTTAATTTGTACAGGCTATAAGATGTCGTGGGTACTAACTATATATAAGAAAATAAACTCTAAACTTTCACTGCATTACGAGATATACGTTTTATGTGTTTAAACTAGCTTATTTACATAGAAAACCTATACCTAGACTTAACTGACATGCACATTTTTTAAAACAAATTGCAGATATTGAGCTGATTTATGGTGTGTGAGTGTACTTTAAATTGATAAGTTACAGATCAAGTATGTATTTTGCTCCAGGCCAATGATTTTTGACGGAATTATGATCTTTATAATTTCTAAGGGGAATCAGATTTTCAACTTGGTTTCCTTAACCACTTGCAGGGTACCTCTGTTCATCATAAATATGCTCTTGGTTTGTTTGCTCAATAGCATAGCAGAGATGATTTTCAAAAAAAAAAAAAAAAAAAAAAAAAAAAAAAATAATGAACTCTCACTATTTAATCAATGGATCCTTCTCCCCCTCCTTCTCCCTACAATTTCGGAGGAGGCTCTTGATGATTGATTATTTATGGTTGTGATGTTTGGGTAAGGTTCTATAAATCAGGTATTGAAAATGCATAAATTCTTTCAATATCTTCGTTTCTACTCCATGGTTTTAGCAGACATTGCTAAAGGATACCTCTTCCAAAATTGATCAGGGGTTCTAGTGTTAGAGCAGGGCTGTATAAATCATATATTGAAAATGAATACCATTAAATTCTTTAAACATCTTTTTGTCTACCCGTGGGTGTTTAGCAGACATACTATTTTCATGCTTATGATGAGCAAGGATGCCTCTTCAAGAAGTATGAAATTCATAACTCTTGGGTCAATGGTTTTGGTTTTAGGACAGGGCCTCTGTTCAACATATATCGTAAAAATGATCTTTTTTTGAAAAGGAAGTCAAATATCAAGGCCAAAGTTACGAGGGGCAAAAATAATACTAAATTTGGAAAAAAATCTTGTCACATATAAGGCACATGTGAAATATGAAAGCCCTATCTTTTCTTATTCTAAAGTTATAACCAAGGTTACAATTTTTGTCACAGACAGACGGAAGACTGCCAGACGAATGAGATTTATTATCCCTTCGGTTTGGCGGATGCAGGTGCGGTTGTTGGTACATGTATATACAAATGCCATACAATGAACATTTGCCTAGTGTGTAAGGTAGTCAAAATACAGATATGTTTTTGTAAATTGCCTAGTGCTGCAATTAAGTAAACAAAGAGAAATCTCTAATGCCTGTATATTTACTCGAGGTGATGCCTCTAAGCTACAAAAACAAATTAGCTGCTTTGCCACTTGATACCAACAATTGCCTCCTGGCAACACAAAAAACTTGGTAGTACTTAGTATACAACATAGATACTTGCTACTTGTCAGTAACTACAACATGTCCCCTAGTCTCCCTGGCTCTTTGTTGACTTGTTAACTTGGATAAAGTATAAAACAACCTTTTTGCAGTCTCTTGCCAACTAAACCCTGATCTTCATGAATTATCCTGACAATAAGACATTAATTGTCCCACAGAACACTATAGTATACACAAATTAAGTAAAATTGGCCATTTTGCTACACAAATAATCTTTATTTCATACTGCTTTACAAGCAAAATCTTACTTTGAGCATGATTTGCGCGCTTAAACTAAACATTCAAACATTCATGATTATTTTGTTTATATATATATATATATATATATATATATATATATATATATATATATATATATATATATATATATATATATATATATATATATATATATATATATATGGCCGAGCGGTCTAGCGCGCTGTTCCTGTACTGCTAGGAGACAGATTCCGTAGGTCGAGAGTTCATCCCTGGGTTGAGACGGAAGTGGGTATCCTTATAAAAGTGAATTTCCTTGTGCTTTCTATATTAATATTTCTTCACTTAGGGCAGTTATGTTAGTTTCAGAGTTGTTATAAAATGTGCTGTAAAAATAAAAATTAATTCATTACAATGTGTATCGGTAACGATCCTCTAATAAAACTAATGTCCAAATAACTGTATCTCACTTCCATTCTCAATGACCGTGTAGTGAAGGACAGCGCCGCGGGAATTCTATCGGCATCGAAAGCAAGTTTTTTAACTTGCCTTGATGGCCGAGCGGTCTAGCGCGCTGTTCCTGTACTGCTAAGAGACAGATTCCGTAGGTCGAAAGTTCAACCCCGGGTTGGGGCGGAAGTGGGTATCCTTATAAAAGTGAGTTTCCTTGTGCTTTCTATATATATAATGCATTTTCACTATATAATTATTATAGCCCCCCCACCCCCCACCCCAACACCAGAATCCCTACCTAGGGACCATAAAATTCATCATGACTATGTTTTTATTTCATCGACTAAATACGCCAGGAGCAGAGATTTTCAAAGAATTAATGCATTTTCACAATATAATCATTAGAGCCCCGCCCTAAAACCAGAACTCTGACCAAGGTACCATGAAATGCACAATGTTGAAAGAGGCACCCTTTTTCATCATAACTATGCATTTAGTTTGTTTGCTTAATACCCAATAATAATAAATATTTTTTTTTGAAATTAATAATGAATTTTCACTATAAATTTAACAGAAACCCACCGTAGCACGTACCAGAACCTCTGAACCTGGGGCCATGAATTTCATAATTTCGGTAGAGGGCTGAGTGCTTAATACACTCATGCCAACAGTTTGACTGCTTAATATCCAGAAGTAAAGAAGAAGATGTTTTAAGATTGCATTTAGTTTGATGGTTTTAGTTCTTTCCCTAAGGCCCGAAGGGGGCAGGGTCCATGAAAATCACAAGTTTTGTTCCCCTTCACCCATATATTTTTTATGCCCAAATTAGTTGAATTTGGTTCAGTGGTTTCAGAGAAGAAATTGAAAATGTTCATATGTTAATCGCACGACGAAAAAGATTGAAATAGGTCACCTGAGTGATCAGGTAATCTAATAGATTATACATACTCACTATATGATAAATAGAGCACCACCCTTACTCCTGAACCCCTGACCCTGGACCAAAAATTTCACAATCTTGATAGAAGGTTGAATGCTTATTACAAACATGCCATCAATTTGACTGCTTAAAGATTGCACTAATTTTGATGGTTTTAGCCCCACTCCTAAAGTCCCAGGGGCAAGGACCATGAAATTCTCAATTTCAGTACTCTTTTACCCATCTATGCTATATGTCAAAATTCGATGAAAATGGTTTAGTGCGATGTGCGTTAACATATGAAGTTAAAAACGACTGACAGACGACGCAAAACGGGCGTCGCACAGCCGGACAAAACAGATACAATAGATCACCTTAGTGACTCAGTGACCTTAAAGGATAATGTAAGAATACAAAATAGTAAGCATCATTTTGAATAGTTAATAAGAAAATGAATGAAAACTTAAAAATAGAAAAGTTCAATAAATTTCGAAATGTTTGGTCTGCGAAACTTAATTATTTTAATTTTTTTATCATAAAAGAAAAATATTTTACAACACAGTAACATCAGTTTTATGTATTCTTATGTTAATTTCATGAAATGTTATCCATTTCAAAAAATTTAAATATAACTTATTCAAATTCAAAACAACGTATTAAAATTAAGAAATTCTATCTACAAAGTAACGTAAATATATAACACTTCACACCTGCCTAAAGGGAATAGATAAATGAATTATTTTTAAATGTTTGCATTTTATGTTAAACTTAATCATGTGGAAACAACGTTTCTATGCTGTTGAAGTTTTACCGCTGAGTGTATTTCTTTGGCTAGAAGTTCTTTGAAACGGATATGAAAATAAACAAAAAGGAACTATATTTGCATTTTGATACAATGAAGGTAAAAGCAATATAATGACTATGATTTTTTTTTTTTTTTTTTTTTTTTTTTTTTTTTGCATTGTAATATACGCGGACACATATTTCAAGTGCTAATCAAAAAATTGGGAAATATGAATGTAAAACACGTTAATTTCAATTCATTGTTAAAGTCTATTAATGGTTGCAAAATTCCATCTCAAAAGAGATATGCTGTTCTTTTCTTCAGTTGGGACCAGTATTGAGGTCATAGAGCTCCTTACACATGACAAATCACTGACTGTGCCTCAGAAACTGGAACTGCAAGTGATAAATATGAAAAAAAAATCCTTATTGGTTTCCATTATTAGAAAAAGAATTAAAAAAAACAAAACAAAACAAAAAAAAAAAAAAAAAAAAAAAAAAAAAAAAAAAAAAAAACTGCACTTATCCTGTAAAAAAAAAAAAATTCTTATATAATTAATTTCAAGGAATATTTTATAAACAATAAACATAAAATAGAATTTCGTTGGCATAATAATAATTGATTGGGCTATCAAATGAGCTGTTTAAAGATGTAAACCTGGATTCATATTTCGTGTAAAAGGCGTGTATTAATCAAACAAGAAAAAAAAACGATGTAGCTGATGCAGAAAAACATAACCCGCTTAAGCGTCGAAGCTTTTAAGTTTCCAAGTAAAAAGTACATGTATGATGGAAACAAATACATAAAATAAACCAATGCGTAAAGTTGTCTCACCTATTTCAGTTGATAAAACTAAATTCACTTTTTTTTCAACGGGACCACATGCTCCACACCAACCCGCACATCGAAAAGAAATTTCCGCTCCATCCGCTGAGCGCTGAAAATTCAGTATGCCTGTTGCATACCCTCTAACTCGTCCGTATACTATCTGTGAATAGTGTTTTGATATGTTTATTTTTGTTTGTACATTTCTGTGTTCAAAATAATGTGTAGAAAAATGTAAGTTTTTTTTCCTGATTAATAAACATTTTAAATATTTTCAGAATAATTCTGTTATTTCAACAACAATATTTCTCTGAAACATAATCAAATGATTGCTCGGTTAATTGTATGTTGTTTAATATTCAATTCGAGATTTTTCTCACATGTAGAGACATCACCTGACTAAGGATAGCTATAATAAAAAAAACAAAACAAACATTGATTGGTATATATTTTTGACTGATTTTGAATAAAAATGGCAAATATAGAAATTCTTTGGTGTTCAAATTTGAGTCTGTTGGCCATTTTATATGAATCTATACAATTATTTCAAACATTTATGACATGATTACAATATCTTACAAAATTTCTACATTGAATCTGGCAAAAATTATTCAAGTTATCTATAAGAACATAAATCTAATAGATTTATTGAAGATTTCTGAAAAAAAAATTGTGTTATTTAAGGCGAACTGATACAAAATTTGACATGTGCAGAGCGGTTACGTCCGTACAAGTATTACTGTTCTTTATTGTGTCAAAGCCTACCGTGATATGGGACCTCGGTTTTCAAAGTCTCATCCGAAAGACCCGCGAATTTCACTTTTATGAACGGACAGTACTCTTCTCCAGTATTCAATGATAATCATCTTTCAAAGAACTATTGAAATGCAATCTACTCCCTCTCAATTTAGAATATAAACTAAAGTATTAGCTTCAATTCTCAAAAACATGTATTTTAAAACAAAAAATTCTTACAGTAGGATCAAGGATCATCCCCGTCCCTCGAGTATTGATTTTGGCATGGGAGAATCGAAAACAATTTGTATTGGACTTTTCTGCAGCACAGTCTGCTGTTTGTCCAAAAGTGAGTTGGAAATTTCCTGTACGCACTGCGAATGTATAGGCAGTTCCATTTACAGACATATCCTATGAATAAAAAACAGAGAAAGACAAATAAACCAAGAGAAGTACTACTTTATATAAATATAAAATGCATTAAGGCTGCTCTTTTCTTAAGAACAATGATATATCTATATTTGTAGGAATAATGGCGAAGAGCTTTTTAAAAATCAACTTATTGTGGTTGAAGGAAGAAATTTTTGAGGTTTTATTCTTAATGAGGGTTCTTTCCTTTTAAAACTGTATTAAAAAATGGAATTATTTGAAATTTAATTATATAGCTTTAAATAGGTATGCATAACAGAAAAATATATGAAATCAGAACTTTTTTCGAAGTCATCTTTCAACTCACTTTTTATGACTAATGTTGTTATTTTATTGCTATTAAATTTGTTTTCGTTTCTTTCATATATTCTGACTCAAGAAACAATGCCGTTATCTCTAAGATACAATGTTTAATCTATTCTTAAAAATATGGGAAATTCTATAAATACAAGTTGTGATCGTTAAGCATTTTGAGAAAAGAAGTCTGAAGATTACTGAGGCCTGTTCAACAGAGCGAGCCTTCGCGAACATTTCTGTTGGAGGGATAAGGAATTTTGGCGAGCGCGCGCAAACATTCGCTCTGTTGAACACACCTCTGACCGAATATTTCGTACTACAAGTCAAGATAAGTTTTCAATATGTATTCAGAGCTAAACAACGAAAAATAAATATTTTTTGAATACATTCTACGTCATATGAATATAAAAAAAACGGTTGACTTATAAGGAACACAATTAATACACATCTCTATAATGTCGCATTGTTGGACGACCTTTTGACTAAATATTACATATATTTTCAATAAAGAACTCCAGCATTCTTTTAATATCAACTTCAGGGGACTTGTGTGTAGAATAGAATGATTTTTAACAAAGTTCTTTTGTAGACGAACAATCCCAAGATATGAAAATTTACGAGTTTTATTTTTGTTAAGGAAGCAATTGTTATGATGTCTAAAAAGCCCGCTCTTTAATTTATCATCAGAAATTGTTGTTTAAAGAATAGAAAATTGATGCTATTAATATTTGAAAAGTTTTAAGATTTTAAATTTTCCAGTCATTCTTTGGAATTCGTAGATTCCACATTTGATTTACACCTCCTCTTGAATGTGTTGTATCACAATATGTCTGAAATGTCTCCTTCACAGCAGTTTATATTTCTATGAAGAGTATGGATAGGGATTGGTTGAACATTTACTGGACTCTGCAATATATCTCTGTTTGTAAGATTTTAATAACGTTTTGGAATCCAGTATAAGTACATGTACGATAAATCGATCTCGCTTCTGTTTAAAGTGCAAATTGAAAGTTAAAACTGAAGGGTGAATTTGAAGAATTTCATCTTTTGAAAGGGAACTGTGTGTATAGGTTCGATTACCAGATGTGGAGTTAAAACCGAGTTCTTCTAATATGCAGTTGTAATAATGAGCCTCATAATCGAAAATAATATTTGATACAAGCTGTGGCAGCTTGCGCTAAAGCATACTTTTCAGTTCGTAGTCTTTCTAATTGTTTTTATTACTTCCGGTCTAATGAAAACGATAGTTTGCATTTTGCTCTTTTACTTTCTATTGCGATTCTATATTTTAAAAATCCTTGGCCCATTTTGACAGATTGTCAAGGCCATCCCCCTCATATTTCGCCCATCGTCTAGCATACTTTGATATTTTCCCGCGTTTCGATAGTATAGCAGGAAAATGTTGTATTAATGACAAGATGTTTAAACACATGTAGTGTGGATTGGTTAGAGAGTGACCAATAGAAATTGATTTTGATGTGTAATAGAGAACTGGTTTTAAAGGTTGCTCACTTCTAGCCGCCGATTTAAGCGAGCAACATCAAATTATGGACGCCGAGGACGTTCAACAGCAAATAAACACGTCAACAGCAAATAAACACGTCAATTCAACAGGCAAACAATGAGATTTTGAGTCAGTTTTCCAGTATTTTAGACAGTCGACTGTTAACAGTTCAGAGAAGTATAAATGAGCAAGTTTTTGCAGATAATTACAAATTCAAAAAGCGCGGTAATGAAGAACAATACAAGCACAATGTTAAAGTAATGGCAAAGCTGAAGGAGGCAAACGAAGAAATGGAAGAGAGCCGCATTCAAGGAGCGAGACAAAAGATAACAGAAGGTTATGACTTAATTAAGCAGAGACAAAAACTTGTTAAGTTAGCAGATTCGTCATCGGCTGGATGGAGAGCTGTAGATGAATCTGCAAAGAACCCCATAGCTTCAGAATCAGATGATGAAAAAAGAAGTTCCAAAGCGCAAACGAGGGCGGAGAGAAAAGTCAAGGACGAACGCATCAAACGTCGAAAGGATATGCGAGAGAAATGGAGGCCCTATCCTTCTATCAACGCTGCAGAAGGCAGTACTTCATCCTCTACAACGGCCGCAGTGTGGAGATCAGGGCAGTGCTACAGGTGTCATAAGAAGGGACACTGGAGAAAAGATTGTACAGAAAAAATAGATGAAAAGATAAGTAGTTTTGTATTTGAATGTTTTGACGCAAAGCAGTCATGTGAGACGAACACAGGTAAATCACTGGTAGGTAGACTGAGAAAAAATGTAGGTCAATGGCGTTCGATTGAAACGAGCAGGTATGTGTTAAGTGTTATTGAATTTGGTTACAAACTGCCTTTATTTACAATTCCAAGTCCAATAGAACTTAAAAATAACAAATCTGCATTGGAAAATGCCAATTTTGTATCAACTGAAATAGAAAAGCAGGTGAAAATGGGCATGTGCAAGATTTTATTGACAAACCAAAAGTATTGAATCCATTGACTGTAGCAGGTAATAAACAAAAACAAAGGTTGGTTTTAGACGCTAGGCATGTCAATCCACATTTATTTAAATACAAACACAAGTACAAAGACACAAGTACATCACGTGAACTGTTTCAAGAGGGTGGTTACATTTTTTCATTTGATTTGAAAAGCGCTTATCATCATATTATGATAAATGAGCTAGACAGAGAGTATTTGGGTTTTAAATGGAAAAACAAATTCTATGTGTTTAACGTTCTGCCATTTGGCATCAGTATTGCTGGATATATTTTTACAAAGGTTTTGCGAGAAGTAGTTAAATTTTGGAGATCGAAGAGTTACAAAATCGTTATGTATTTAGATGACGGCATAGGTGGTGCTGAAACTTTAGATCACGCTAGAATTGTTAGTGAAAAAAATTCAAGCTGATTTAAATGCATTAGGTTTTTTAGTGGCTGATGAGAAATGTCATTGGGAACCAGTTCAAGAAATAACTTGGTTAGGGTTCGTTTGGAACACAAATCTTGATAGAATATCAGTCTCAAATTCTAGGATAAACAAACTTAAAGCAAGTATTCAAAATATTTTGCAAGGCATCAAAGCCGGATACAAATGGTTTGAAGTTCGATTTGTTGCATCAGTAATCGGTCAGATCATTTCAACACAAGCGGTGTTTGGTGATGCGGTTAGGCTCAGAACCAGGTATATGTATTATTGCATTTTAATAAGATCCAGTTGGAATTCTTATATTATGTTGAGTAAGGAAGCTGTAGAGGAGCTTCAGTTTTGGTTACAAAATTTAGAAAGCATGAATGAAGTGGGCGCTCGGTTGAGTAAGGTCATGGACAAAGATGTCAGACAAATTGAAGTATATTGTGATGGTTCAGATTCTGGATATGGAGGTCATTTGACTCTAAGTTCAAAGGATGAACAGAAGGAATTTGAATGGTATGGTATTTGGAATGAATGTGAATGTAGACAGAGTTCCACATGGAGGGAACTGGAAACTGTTAAGAGAATTTTAGATAATTCGGTAGATTTGGTCAAGAGCAATTCAGTTGAAGTAAATTCAGAGAACAAGAATGTGCCACACATACTTAAGGTAGGTAGTAGAAATAAGTGTTTGCAGGACATTGCTATGTCTGTGCATGAGCTGTGTAAGGAGGAGAATATTCAGTTGAATTGTAAATGGTTGCCTAGAACTGCTAATAAGAAAGCAGATACACTAAGCAGGATGATCATGAGTGATTGTGATGATTGGGCTATTAAACAGGGAGTGTTTGAGTTTTTGATGAAGCATGGGGTAAGCATACATGTGACAGATTTGCTTCTAAATATAACAGTAAGTGTGAGGTATTCAATTCCAAATATTGGTGCGCTGAATCAAGCGGAGTTGATTCTTTTGAAGAGGTATGGTCAGATTGTGTTAACTGGGTTGTACCACCACCTTGTCTGATACAAAGATGTGTAAGAAAAATTGAATCTGAGAAGTGTAAGTGTACTTTGGTAATACCAGAGTGGAAATCTGCACCCTTCTGGCCAATGTTGGTCTGTAAGGATGGAAATTTCATTTGGTATACAAAATGTAGCAAAACTTAAAAATGTTGATGTTGTGTGTAGAAGTTGAGGGGGAAACGGGATTTTTTGTAAAGAGGGGCTTGTTTAATATGATGTTTTTAAGAATTGAATTTTGATATTGCAGGAATGGGATTGCAGGATAGAGTTCGAAAGGTAGCGCTGGACAGTGGAGTGAAACCTGGCAGTTATTTGGACGACATTTGCCCCCACATGAGTGTTTTGATATTATCAAGTAAAAGTGACAACACGAACAAAAACTATTTTAACGCTTTCAAAAGATGGGAGACCTTCATCAAATCACATGGACAAAGAGCACTTCCGGCAAACCCCATTCACGTTGCATTGTATTTGACACACCTTTTAGATAATGGCACAACGCAACATCCAATTAATTCGGCTGTGTACGGGATCAAGTGGGCGCATGACTGTTTGGGTTTTACAGATCCTACTAAAAATTCATTTCTTCTATCTATACAGGAAGCAGCAAGGAGAAAAGTTTCTAAAACTGTGAACAAAAAGGAACCGATTACCAAAGTAGTGTTAATAGAATTATGTAGTAAGTTCCAGGAATCAACAGATTTGTTAATTAATCGAAATCTCACAATGATTTTGTTTAGTTTCGCTGGTTTCTTCCGATTTGATGAGTTAAGCTCTCTCTTTTTCAACGATGTACTAATTTGTGACGATTATTTAGTGATATGCATCAGAAAAAGTAAGACAGATCAATATCGGCAAGGGAATGAAGTACTTATATCAAAAGGGGATATGCCTGCCTGTCCGGTGAGCATGTACCAGCGCTATTTGGAGCTTCTTGGTGATGTGGATTATAAACATTTTTTTTGCATTCAGACCTATTTTTAGGTCAAAAGACAATTGTAAACTGATTTATAAAAATAAAAAGATAAGTTATTCTGCTGCAAGAAATAACATAATACCACTTATTAAATCTGTTGTTGGGGAGGTTGATATCGGGCTTCATTCTTTAAGGTCGGGGGGAGCGACTGTGGCTGCAAACGCTAGTGTTGATGATAGATGTCTCAAAAGACATGGCAGTTGGAAAACTGATAGTTCAAAAGACGGATATATTGTTGATTCAGTTGAGAAGCGATTGCAAGTCTCTAAATCTCTTGGTTTGTAATCACAGTCGTTGTTTTTGCCCATACTTTGTAATTTCTAGCGCACGCTCGGCTGGCTGTCATGCATAGCATGTTGTTGTGTTTCATGTTGGTATAAAAGTAATGGAGTGAATACTGATATTTTCCCTCGTTTCGATAGTATAGGGGGGAAATGTTGTATTAATGACAAGATGTTTATACACATGTAGTGTGGATTGGTCAGAGAGTGACCAATAGAAATTGATTTTGATGTATAATAGAGAACTGGTTTTAAAGGTTGGTCACTTCTAGCTGCCGATTTAAGCGAGCAACATCAAAGTTTTCCTAACTTGTAGATATAAGAAAATTTTTTTTATCAGGTATACAAGTAGATTGTGAGGTCCGTCGCAACTATTTTTGCATCCAGCGGCACTAGGCAACGGACACAGGTTTCTAGAGTTTCTAAAATTATTTTATCTCTAGTTTTTCCTGGCCGGCCCTGATGCTTTTCAAAATTTTCATATTACAGTGTATATAATTATAATATATGCAGCAGTTTTTGCAAATTTTATGGTTTTATTTCGTCATACAATGTTCTGTATGTATATATTGATTTATTGTTTTGTGGAGACTGTCAATAAAATACGGCGTCCAGCGCACGCTCGGCTAGCTGTCATGCATAGCATGTTGTTGTTTTTTATGTTGGTATAAAAGTAATGGAGTGAATACCTCTACTGTATTCATAATAGAAATGAAGTTCTGTCGCCATTTAAAAGATCATGACTACCTGAATTTAGGACCTCTTTAAAAAACATCCGTTAGCTCGTAATTTTGAACTATACTTACATCACCAGTAATGGCGTGTCCAGCTGGACTATAGTTGAAAGAAAAGGAATAACAAGAACACTCAGTAAGATTTTTTCTAGATAGTTAATATCTACGCAATGTAGATATTGTTTATAATTAAAAATTTAAAATGCAATGGTTGTGAAATATCCCAAGAGCTGGCTACAAGGTATTTTGTATATAAAACGGAGATTTTTTTAGATTGACCCTGGGTAAATTCGGACAGACGCATTTTCCTTTTTGTAAATAAAGTCACTTTGATTACATAAAATCAAACAATATGATATCGGCTCTTGTATTGAAACGTATAATTCAACTTATATTATGCTGGATTACGAGACTTCTACACCGCTACTCTAGACCTAACCGTCTAACCTCTGCGCCATGCGGGCGACTCCAGTGAAATGCTTATAAAGAAGTTGATGGCCCCCATCATTTATTTCAAACTCATGTCCCGATATTTTCTTGTTGAGAGAGCCCTTGGTTTTCTCCAACATAAAAAAAGGCCACAAAGATTGCATTCAATTCCATACATAACGTTAATAGGCATTCAACTCAGATCTTTACAAGTTTTGGTATTAAAACTTTGTCCAGTGAAGTTGCTATTAAAATGATTTTTGGTAATCAAAATATCGGAGATTTTACAAATTTTTGTACATTTGGAAATGAAACATATGGTGTCAGAATAGGAATCGTCAAAAATATCTTTGATGAGTCTGGTCGAAACTTTAAAATCTATTCTACTAAAGGTATTGTCTATTTTATGCCAAAACTAGTTATCTGAAAACTGTATACTAGTATAAGACAAAGCAAATCTTAGCTTATAAACTGTTTACATGCAACATTGATTTAAAAGATTCTGAAATAACTAAATTTTGTTAATACAGTACCTCTATATTTATGGCCACTCTCGTAAATTCTGCCTTCTTTAACGGAGGAGTATAAGTGGTCGAGCAGCGCTGAAATTTACTCAACCAGTTTGAACTGTCGTGTTCAATAAAGGTATTTCCATTCTTCAGAGTGACATATTCTTTTGGATCTGATTGCATGTTGTGACAATAAATCTTCACTTTCTTTCCATTCGTTGCTGGAGGGTATAACCAGTACTCACCATCAGTATTTATACCAGCACATCCGGCGATGTCTGAACACGACTGGGGTACTTCATAAACATACAATAAAATAAAGAACAATGAATTAAGATCCTTATCTATCTGCATCTATCTATCTGTCCGTCCGTCCGTCCGTCCGTCCATCCATCCATCTATCCAACCATACAACCTTTCTTCATTTCTCTCTTTTTTCTTATCTTTCTGTCTTTCATATCTTTATAAGGTGGACAGTGATAATAATATTTTAAAACTATGTTACAGAAATATCATTTAACGATGACAGATCAAGTATATTGCCCTATTTAAATCATAAGCATATGAATACCAACAAAATAAAAAAAAAAATCATTGTAAGGATATTAATTTTGACAAAAGTGTCAAAGTGTCCTATAATTCACGATCAAATAGTACAGTTCATGTGATAAATATTATAAATTATGATTAAAACAAAATCTAAAGCTAAGACAGAAACATTTTAATTGGAATAAACTGAAAGAGAATCACACTTTTTCTGTAAATTATATTTCGCACCTGTAGAAATCTGGAAATTTTGATACATGTAATATGTCTCGTATTTGTCTGGTGCTCATTTTTCTACAGGTCCTAATCAATACTAGTAGACAATTGTCATCCACGTGGGTGAATCCTAATAAGCGATGTTTAAATCCTGAGTGTAAATGGTCGTAAACTAAAGTTCTCGCGATCCTTTTATTACTTAGAGAATAAGCCTCCTAATAATCTTTTAATTGTTTGCTATGGACTAAGTACGTCAAGAGACTTTTCAGAGATTAACAAAATAATTATTGATAAACTATTTGGGGTCTCACTTTTTTATCACTATTTGGGGTCTCACTTTTTTATCATTTATCATTTTTATGTTATATCAAATGGGGAAGATAATTTCGAACATTTATTTATTATTACTATAACATGTATCATCATCATCACCATTTTATTATACCCCCGTTATCAAGCCAAAAATTCAAATTCGACTGGTATTAATCCTCATTTTTGAAAAAAAAAAATTAATAAGAAATTCAGGTTTTGTAAAAAGATACAATAAAGCATCCTGTGCTGATTAGACCACATAACTTTGGGAACGATCCCTTTAAATGCTGAGACCAAAATTTTAAAACATAAGACGTCTCACCCTATTATACTGCATGGCATTCTCTAGGAATACAAAGAGTCGTATAAATATATGTAACTAAGATAATATTGATTAGTCATCACAGAACAGAAAAATATTCGTAATTAATTAACTGTGACAAGTCGTGTTTAAAAGATAAAAGGCTTCGCAAAATATCGTTATCATAATCAATGACAATAAATCCCTTGTACAGCATCAAGCCTTTAATTTAAAATGCAAATATGTAATGAACTCATTGTCAAGAACACACCTTGTTACTTTTACTTTGAAAGGTACTTAATAAATAAAATTCAATTTAAAAACAAATGAATTTTTAAAAGAGGCCATTTTCAGCTGGAATAGACTTTTCTTTAAAACATAAAAAACAAACTAATTTATTGCAGAAGTATCACTAGACAACTTTGATGAAAGAAGTGGTATAAATATCAATCTATTATCAAAATTTAATGCACTTATAATTAAGTTTCTGAAAATAATTTTTTTTTCGGCACAGTTACAAAATTTAAGGCACATACTGTACCATTTCCTATTTCTCAATCAAAATCACGCGAATTCAAGTCTAACGCAATTTCCCATGTACTCCAGAGACATAAACACAGATTTGAAAGTAATATCCTTAAACAATTTCGATAAAATTCATGACTTATCGAATGTGCTCGCACATCTTAAAGAAACTTCTTTTGTCTGAACATTATCAAAACTGCGAATTCCAGGCGTGTTTGATTGCCTTGCATACTTGCTTTTTCAACAAATTAAAATTTATCCTTTTTCATATTTAAGAAAAATTAGAAATGTGGGTTGAATGAATTTAAAGATATTAAAACTATAATCAAGAAAATTCAGAAATGAAATGCAAGATAGCAATTAAAACAACACAATAGTATTGTCAATTCGTGTTCACTGATGTGTGCAGTATTAGCACATCGAACACACTCGGCAAAACATAAAAGAGTTGTTAACAAAGCTGTTTCATGTTAGATTACGAAAGATGTCGTTGTCTTTAAATGCTTAAAATTTTCATGTAAGTTCAAATCACTAAAAAGAAGTTTTTTTTTTTTTTTTTTTTTTTTTTTTTTTTTTTTTTTTTAAACTAAAGAGTAAATAAAACGGCAATGCAAATGTGTCTTTACCCCGTTGATAAGAGTAAGTATTACGTGTACATTAAATAAGCCCAAGATAGCTCATCTTTGCTAGCAACTCCTGACAAACCCATTTGTGCTTTCAATATTCGGGAATTACTTTGGGGAGGTGTTCCAAGACATTGCTGATATGCAAAGTTATAGTCACTGAGTATGTGTCCGCTGCTTTTAAAAATGAAAAGCTTTCGATCCGTACATGTAAGATTGTCTTCTATTCATATAACAGTGACGTTATTAATTTTAAGGGATGTGAGAATAAGACCAGAGTCCCATTTTACAAAAGAGCTGATTTTCAAATTAACCTTAAAACAAGTTATTCCTAAAATAACACTTTGGTCGTAGTCCTAAATTCTTTTGTAAATCGGGATCCTGGTGTCTACATTGCAGATACAAAACTTACGTTGCACCTTATCAAATCATCATTGCATGACCCTTGATTATTTAGTTTTTAAAATTAAAGCACAATTACATACTAGACATATCCTAGAAAGATCTTCATTTTTCAACTAACATACTAACCTATGGCTACAGATGATTTGATATTATTCCATGTTGATGTTATACAGAGAATAATCCTTCAGATAATGTACTTACGTCTTTTGTTGCTTGCTTTGTCCATAATATAATATTCAGTTTTATTTTCGTCTCCAAGTTTGTCCAAGTTATGATGAAAATTTAAAATCTGACAAGTCCGACTGTTTTTATTGTATAATAGAGAAATGCACTGACGCTCTTTTGAGCAAACTAAACTACAATGAGTCCTGCTTTCTGTGGTGCCTGTCCAGAGAGCAAGGGACGGTTCAATGAATTCTAATCCGGATGCTGCCTTTCGAAATAATACATAATCTGAAACAGAAATTTTATGACGTAATATATATATATATATATATATATATATATATATATATATATATATATATATATATATATATATATATATATATATATATATATATATATATAAAGCACAGAAAAATTCACTTTTATTAGGATACCCACTTCCGCCCCAACCCGGAGTTAAACTCTCGACCTACGGAATCTGTCTCCTACCAGTACAGGAACAGCGTACTAGACCGCT